TTCCATGATATCGCATATTTTCAGTCATAAAACAAGACATTCCTAAGGATAAGCGTTACCCTCATTCGTAATGGCGATTACTTGATATTTTTTTTTTTTACACTTTTAATAAAAAGGACCAGATAAAGGGAAAATATATATATTCTATCTGATTTATGTACATGCGGTTTTGTGTTTTGTTACTTAAAATTTGTCCAAATGAAATAAAACTCTACTCAAATAATCCTGGCACCGGTAAAACATATCAGTTAGTGGCGGATCTGGTTCGTGGATTGATTGAGTCGCAACATCTGAATCTATGTATTTATTAAAGTTTCAAATCGTTGGACCATAATGACACATCAGAAATTTTAAAACATAGTGAATTACTAAATACATCTACGTACAATGTTACAAATAAGAAAATGGGAATGGATATTATAATAAATAGAAAGAACATAGCAGGTGTTTTATCACTCTTGAAAAATGCAAATAAATCATGTGCTTTGTGGATCTGGAGGTTTGACCAATATTTTACAAGATAACAAATTCTCTTTACATATCGCATTCGTATGCATAAAATTTTAATTATTTTCCGAACACTAATTTTTTGTAATAACACTTTTTTTTTTACCCAAATCCATATATAGTCATTATAAAAAGAACATGACTGTATAATTATAAAATGAAAATGATCTTCAATAACATTCAAGGAACATATTTGATACAAGATCCACTTTTTAAAAGATTATTCATGTACATATCTAACATTTTTGAAAATTCAGATTATGAGTTAAAAAGCCTAATCTATGCAATTTGTATTTTGTACGTATACATGTACAAGAAATTAAAAAGTTTGCTTTATAGCAATATTGTACATGTGTATCAATGGCATCAACCAGGTCTTGTTTTACTTCGAGCATGACTACGAATAAATATAAGAAAACATATGATGAATAGAAACCTCAAGAAATCTTTGTTTTATTACCTCGTGCAAATTTATTATTGTCAAAATCTGCATTGAAAATAAATATGCATGTGTAGCCAAGTCCCAGCTAATAAAGTTCATCTTGTATGTCTTCTTGAATTTGGTCTTACAATATCGTTACAGTTCAGTTGAATTGCAATCCAGATTTCGATAGACTATTATATGTACCCTAAAATTCTTTAAAATATTTCAGGCACAAAGCATCAGGAGGGGCCCCCACTTTTTTCCAAACCTAATCTACTTCTATTGTAAACGTCCACTGAAAAGCTGGTTGCCCCCCCCCCCCCATTTGTTTTAGGATAGTTTAAATCAAAGTAATTTGGTATTATAATGTGTTTCGAAAAGAAAGTGGAAGGTGGACCCCCCCCCCCCCCCCCCCCCCCCACGAAATAGGATTTTCGAGTTTGGACACTTTACCTTTTTTATTGCTTGTCAATGTTTTTTTTTCAGGTAGGTTGTCAAAAAAATTTCTGGCTGCCCCCCCCCCCCTCACTTTCAAAAACGATACTACGTGCCTGTACTTTATAATTTTTAAATTTTCTTAACTCCTTTATATGCACTTTAACTATTCAAAATAGACTACCGCCGGTACATTAAAAACAACATAAATAAAGCTTTAATTCACTTAAGTAAAACGACTGTATATTTTTTCTACATTTTCATGGAGTTTTATGAAATCACCACACGTTGCTCAAAAGTTAAGACTACATGTACTACTTAGTTACATACATATATCAAAAAGTGAGACATGCGTTTCAATATTAAAATTTAAGTTGCACAATTATTTACTCGATTTTTTTTTACTGTTGACTTCCAAAAAGTTTTCGGTCAAATTCCACAACCCAGATGATCGCAACATTGCTTCAAAATCTTTGTATGAATTGCTAGAAATCTTTAATCAAAAGGTATTATTGGTGTGTCAAAGAGCTATAAATCGATTAGCGTACAGGTGTTTTTCGTTCAAGAACCATGCAGCAGGGAGAGATCTCTGTATGAAAAGGTCACGCATGCACATCCTTGATTATTACCAAAAGTACACACAGTGGGTGGTGGAGGAGAATAGTGTGATTTGTAGTTAACACTCCTGTATCTATATCACATGTTGTTTTTATTTATTTTTAGGCCTATGTGTCATTGTTTTAAACTTTCAAAAGAAATTGCTATATAGAGGTATGACATTCTTTAAAAAAATTCAACAATTAAACACACAACTGGTAATATTCATCCCTCTTTTTTACGTTATCTATACATGATTTCTGTGTAGAATGTTTTTTATTCGGGGGTGTTCATATACGTACTACAAATTTAAGATTGTGTGCCTGTCAATTTATCTACATGTATAATATACGTTGTACATATTCTTGAGAGTCTAGCGGAATTTTAAAATAATCTTTTTTAAAAAGAATACTCGTTACTCCTCCTTTTGTATCTATGATATGTTTCAAGCATCCAATCCACATTGAGCTGTTCTCTAATGAATATTAATAAATTGTGCGCAATGAGGATGCGTTGCGTATTATATCGATGTTGTATTCTCACTCGTGCAGTTTTCGTTTTTACATTTGTGTAATTTCCTCACTATATCGTGTAAATATTTTGTTGATTGTGCAGTTTTTCTATAGTTTGTGTTTATTTTAATAACTTCGTGTATGTTTTTCTCACTTTGTGTAAGTTTTTACTTACTCGTGTAATTTTTGTTTAAAGTCGTCAGAGACCTATATACTAACGGGATAGGCAACTCCTTCAGCGCCATGTTTATTTACCCAAAACGGCACTCACAACACTGCAAGTTTTTCAAACTACATTTTTTCCCAGTAAAAAGCTTGTTTTCTGATTAATGTTATCTTTTCTTTTTGTGTATCAGAATGGATATATAATAAATTTTAAAGCACATATTATAAAATAATTTAATTATTAAGTAAACAACCACCAAAATCGGCGATTTCTCGGAAATACGGCCGATCAGGGGCACGCACTGATTTTTAAATAAACATAAATACTACTAAGATAAGGAGTAAAAACAGTGCTAATGACAAATCTTGAATAATTTTTTGATAGATAAATCAAGATTTTATTCTGAAATATTTGATAGCAAAAGAGATACATTTAATTGAAATTGACTTACGAAATCCCGCAACTTACGAGATATCGCGAGACTTTCGAGAGTTGCCTATCCCGTTAGTATATAGGTCCCTGAAGTCGTGCAGAAAATAATTTTGAAGCAATCAGCGTGCCATAGAGACGTTGTTATATTTGTTGATTAACTAAATCTTAAACGTTTTTGTCAGATTTCCTTCCGTTGTATTCTTAAGTTGATGCCCTTTTAAGGTAGAATTGTATAATTATGTAATATTTATCATTATTATATACCCAAATGCTTGTCACTCAGTTTTACTGTTGAATTTATGCAATCACGTGACGTTGTGATCCGACGTACCGGATCACCACACTGTGATTTTCTGGATCCATATCACCCCTCTCCGAAACTGATGACGTAGTACACAAATAAATGACGTTTTTATTCTCGCGCATCAAAAGGTTCCTTGACAAAATGGCTTGTTTAATGTATAAAAGTTATGTAATAGATCCAAAAAGTTTTCTTTTATTATATTTTGCTAGTTGTAAAGGGGTATATAATAAATTTATCATTATAACAGTAACTTGACCCAAAGGGCCGTATCACGTCTCAATGAAAGGCGCGGATCATCAGATAAAGCTCGACGCTTCGCGTCTCCTTTGGTCTGATGATCCGCGCCTGTCAATGTTATGATAATATTTATTTTTTACATATGCATTATTTAAACTACGGTTTTTGGTAAAAATCTAAATAATAAAAAACATAAATTTTCATTTATTTGAAAGGTTGTACGACGAAATATCATGATCGTATTTGTCAGGAGGATTGGCAAAATGTTTACCTATATTTACAGCTGTGATCGTTCTTGATTTTTTAAAAATATCAATTGCTCAAAAAATATAGCGTGAATATATTTGCATTGCAAGCAATTAACCTCCTATTGTGGAACGATAGCGGTGTTTTTCTTTGAAGATTGCTGTTCTGTATTAGCAATACAGTACGGGACTACAGTGGGCGGAGCTACTTTCCGTTCTGTATTAGCCCTATATACTGTCTTGTATTAGCCAACTGTTCTGTATCTAAAATACAGCACGGTCTAAAAATAAATCTGATTCAATTTATCAAAAGCACGTACAAATAGTAAATGCTGATTTTTTTCTATTATAAATAATGGAGAAATGTAAAATGTCAAAATTTCTCAATTACTTTTAAAGAATTATTCCACACAGAATCTACATGTTATTTCGATCCAAACGAAAAGGAAAATTTGCAATTTTGGAAAACATCCTATGTTGGATAAATTCCTGAAAACCTATTTGCTTTCCCTGCTTTTTGTCTCCCCTTTAAAATAGTAAAGCCAATGGGTTCACGGATGCAGCATACATTAGGTGAAATTCGCACCCCCTCCCCCCATTTTCCACTCTTCTCGTGCAAACTCATTCAAGTCCATTTTAAGTTTTTTTTTTTTTTTTTTTTTTTTTTTTTTTTTTTTTTTTTTAATTTAAATTTCATCTTAAATCCTTATCGCTTACTACTGCCACACATCTCTTTCACTTCGTTTTTAATGTCGCATTTCAATAAGAAAATTAAAAAATCCGTAACATCAAAGTCCATCGAAGAACTGTCTGTATCGCCTGTATGTGTATCTAGTTAAACTGAGATTTTATGACCCCTGAAATAAATTAGGATCAATCCCCATCTACAACAAGGTTAAATCGTCCACCATGTCAATACGATACAGAACCCGTCTCGTTCTCTAAATAATACTTAAAATACATTTCAAGATTCTGCGTGTCTGAAAACATTGATTAAATGAACAGCCATCCTCATTGCAACGAATATATGTTAAAAGCATCCTTAGCACTATCAAAAATATCAGAAACAAAGAACAAAATAGAAAATGATTGAAATCCAATACACAGATACTTAAATGAAGCTTAATCTATGTACACTTACATTAAGACTTCCTTTCACAGGTTGAGGTGAAAATGAAATCCACGATGTCAATTGATTTTGAGGCACATTGGTATCAAGAAAGGCCGCTGCGTACCCCATTGGTTTTCCAGATAAACCACACTCAAATACATCAAATCTTACTTGTACATCTACAACGCTTGCTTTTCCCTTTTTCACGTTCATATAAGCCTCAATTTTGTTTAGAGGGTAAATAGCTTCTTCAACAATGACTGATTCCGAGAATTTTCCTGGTAGGCAGAATTTCTGGAAACATGGTTGAACCAATGCACGGTATCTTTGGAAATTTTGTAAATGCAATCCAGTAAACTGAAATTGTGAATTGCTGCTTATGTCTTTTAGCGGTTCCACAAGTGTACTGGACCCGTCTTTGTTAATTTTAAATAAACCACATTTGAAATGAGTGATTAAGTTTGCATTTTCATTTTTTACAACCCAAAATACTTCGAAAGAATGCTTGCTTTTCTGAAATTGTTTTCCTTCCTGGCAAGATGAAATCGAGGCATTATTTAAAACAGAGGTATTCAGAAAATGGAATGTTGGATAAGAAACAATTGGAACAAATTGATGTTGAGCCTTATTAATCCAAACTACATCCCGGCTTGTTACTGGACTTCGGTCTGTTAAAACTGTGTAGACCTGAATCTCCCGAAGAGCACTCACCACTGAAAACGTTCCCTGTGTTTTATTAATAATGATTGGCATATTAACGTTAGGTCCCATCTTGCAGGCAACTCCACTTTGCACAATAAGTGAATTTGATATGCTTGAGTTATCTATTACGGTGAATCCATCTGACACAATTAAAGTTGAGTGAGGCCCAACAGTAGCACGTGCTATTAAATAGTATTTCTTGAAATGCAATAGATTCAGATTGTAAAGGCATTTCGTATTTTCTGAAATATTCCGAAGAGATACGATGTCTGCAGATTCTTTTGTAGAGCCAATGCCAACTGCTAAAGAAATATTTTGAGTATGCCACATGCCTTTCCAGTCAAAGCAGACTTTGTTTGCCTGGAATATGAAGTCAACATCTTCGCCTGATAGAGAATGATTTGGAAGAATTTCGATGATTGTCCCATTTGTCGGTGGATACCGAGAGGGTAAAATGAAAGATTCTGATCTAACTTCGAGAAAGTGTCCTGCTATGTTGTAGACATATAGATGGAAGTGGAATTTGGAATTACTATTGAAATTCAGTTTGAAGATACGATTAATTGGATACTTGAAACAAAAAGAAAAATTTCTTGGACACTGTTCTGTTATCTTAGCTTCCAGGTATGGCGTTAGCATCTTTTTAGCACCTCCTGCAAAAAGCATCATTAGTTGCATCTTGAATCATGATCATATAGCATAAAAACATTAAAACTCATCATGCCGACCTTCAGGTGTGTTTTTTTTTATTTTCTTACCTAAGCGGAAAAGTATCGAATCCATTGGCTCCTTCTGTTCTGCCTCAAGAAATGTATCAATGTTCCATCCAACAACTATATCTGCAGAATCTTGATATACAACAATATTCCCTTTGTACATAGGGGGTGTTTCGTCGATGATTAGTGGACCAAAATGTACAAGCGTTTTCAGATCAGCTTTGTTTATCACTTTCAGAAACAAATAAAACGGCAAACCAGTATCTAAGCCTACATGCATGTTATGATACTCGTCAAACTTTTGAGAATCTGAGTACGATGTCAAATCAGGAAATGAAAAAGAACTTGCAGTTGAACCAAATCCAACCTCAACATTATGTATCTGTGATTCCTTCTCTTCCATCATCCAGGTCAGTTTGATTTTATCAGAGGGAAGATAAATAAACCAGTTTTCTGTGTACTGTGGGAGTTTACTACACATGGTTATAGAGTATTCAGAATGATTTGCGTATAGATTACTTTTTGGAAGATATGCTATAAGTGACATGGAAAGATTACGAGTACATATTTCGACACATTTTTCAGTTGACTCAAGCTCATAAACCGTTAGGTTTTGCAGAATATGCCAAGCTTTATTGTCGTAGCATCCAATAACAGACTTTGCTTTTGCAGATTCTAGAACAACGTCGGAGACTCTTACTTGGGAAGAATCTCGTGTCACTCCATCAGAGCATGCAACATCAGATGGTTCTAAAGCATTGTTATATGCTATCACAGAAACAATGTAGGGACCATCGTAAGGAAGATCTATATCTAAAAATTGTTCTGTAGACTCATGGATGCTAAAATTCTTTGATAAATTATGAGAATATACATTCATTTCTCCTTTTGTAAGACAGTGGTTGCTGATTCCAATCCTATATTTCATTATCCCACTTTCATGATCTATGAACCCATCCCATCTAGCTTTAACTGAATTTTCACTTGTATAGTCAATATCAGGATATCCTTTAGGTCCTTCATAAACGACACCTTTCAGTGGGGGAGAATCATCTGAAAGAATATCCACATGTTGTATACTAACTAATCTGGCCCCATTTGTTACTTTAACTGTGAAATGATATTCCCGATTGTGTTGACCAATATGTGTGTTGTTATTTATAAGATGATTGAATTGAACTCTATATATGGAGTTTTCACAAGGTCCCACACTAGGACAATAGCAGTCTTCAAGAGCTTCACACGACTGAAATTGAAAGAAGACAAGACAGTTACTTTTAGAAAATTGAAAGCTAATATTCTTACATTCTGGAATAAGGAGAAAATACTGCATTTACTCTACCTTATTTCCTAAGGTTTGCACAGCCATGGCTTTGTATGCAAGTTCCTTTCCTCCAAGGGACGTGCCAAGGAAATATTCTATGGAATAAATGCCACTGTGTGGGTCAAATGCTTTAAATTCTAGGGTCATTTTTGACAAATCAGTGGAGTTATGGACAAACAATTGTTGGACATGATCTTTTTTTAGCCAAATATCCTTAATATCAGGTACACTGGAATCGATATGAAAGGTAATATTTTCAGAAAGCGTATTATTTATTAAATCTTTTGAAGTCACTGTAATTGTATGAGTTTCTCCATCTTTTACACCAAGATCAACGCAAAAAAACTGGGTAGGAAAGTTTGGTACAAGAACGTCTGAGGACAATCTTTTATTTCCTTTAAACCATGAATAATGGAATGATACTATTCCGAATACATTGGTTGTTCCGGATACCGGTAAAACCCCATTCTCTTGTTCGTACACTCCTTGATATGTCCCGTGATAATCCTTCTTGATTTTACGCAGGAGGTTATATCTTTTGTTGTACGAATTATAATATCGGTTTTCCCACGAAAGACAACTCTTTTCTTTATTCGTCTGCCATGTGAAATTGGTTTCTGGGCTCCCAGTATATACCTTAAGCCTTTTTTCGCCATTGATTTTTATTTCAGAGGAATTATCGAACATAACGAATCTTCTAGCAGATTTTACATTTCCAGCATGATCCAACACTTCCAGGGTAATGCCAAAAAGGGCTGGTTGGTGAGGCAGTGTAACATTGAATTCACCATGAGAAATGTTAAAAGTCTGAAGAGCTTTTTCATCCATTGAAAGTGTAAGGTTGTCGACTTCCTTTGTGTCATGGATGCTAACTGAAAAGCTCCTAATGCCAGATGCTTGGTCGGGCCTTCTTAGAAATGGATCATTCCACCCTTCAATTTGGATCTTCAATGTCGGATTCTTTGTTAAGCGACCGGGTATCAATTGTATTGGTTCAAGTCCTGGACAAGTTATATTTTCACTACAGTGCCGTGGTGTGGAGGAATCGAAAAGGAGACATACATCTTTTGACTCAGTTACTCTGTTGTAGGTGACTGGAGGATACACTTTGTTATTGAAGTCTTTGTACTTCATGTATCCACCACTCATAGCTTTATATGATAAACAGAGCCTAGAATAGTGAAATATACAAGTATTTCTAATTGAAAGGGCATACAGTAATCGAAACTCTCTGTTGAAATGCTGGCACTGATAAATAACTTATACAAACCTTTGTCCATTAGTTAAGAACCATGTTGATTGATTGTGAAGAACATGCCTACATTCTATAGGATGATCTGATTTTGGATGTAAATCGTTCATCTGCACATTGCATTTTGTTTTTTCTGTTAGCTGTTCTGTGTGCAAGGTAGATTTTGCTCCTGAGAAGACATTATATAATAATATAAGAATAACACAATGGAAGGCAGATCAACTGACACATTTCACAAAGGTACCGGTATTTGTTTTATGTAAACACATATACATGTGAAAAAAGTTTGAGAACTAACTAGCATAACACTTGAAATGAACATTAAAGGAATTATATTTTGACAAAGTGTTTGACACATGTCTCACGAGCTTTCAAGTTTGGAAAACTTTATCGCAATATAAAAATTTAACTTTGTAGTTTCACTTTTTTAAATTCAGATCTCCATCTGTGTTATAATTCTTTTACTAGACTTCCACAATTAGAATTCTATTACTCTTATGTTTTAATGAGCCATGACCATACAGATTGAATGTAAAAGAAAAGATCATGAACATATATTTTTTTGTTTTTCTTCATTATACGAACGTCTTGCATAAAAATTGACTTTTCATTCGTATGGTTTATCAAAAACGAGGAAAGTAGCCATACATCGTAGGTTCAAGAAGTCATTTGATAAAAGTATAAAAACAAATTTCATATTAATATCACCAACAAATTAGGTAATAAAATAATGTTTATGTGTAGATTCACTTACTTGTTAAATCTTCCTTGTATACTTGGACTTCAGCGTGGACAACACCAAAATGAGACTCACTGATACGAATTGGTTTGCTGGGAAGTCTCTTTGGTGTTTCGAATAACATAACAAAATTAAAGGACAGTGACCTTGGCTGAAAGTTGATATATGTTGATTCTTCATTTTTGCACTCTCCATGTGAAGTTGAATTACCGACCACACCTTTGTCACTCTCAGCACCCAGCCGACATGTCAGAAGATGCGGCTTTTTGGACACTAACCAATCAAACAAGTGGCACATGGACCACAGCGCTCATGTGAAAAACTATGGTCCTGCTGTTCTTTAACAGCAGATTTTTCCCCTATCTATTCCTATGTAAAACTTTAATCACATATTGTGGCCTCACCCCACCCCCGGAGGTCATGATTTGACCAAACTTTAAACTACATAACCTGACGATGCATCTATAAATATGACTAATCATGACTTTGCTGTTCTTGAGATTTTTCTTACATATTCCTATGTAAAAGATTGATCACATTGTGGCCCACCGTACTCCTTGGGTCATGAAGAAACTCGAATATACGGAACCTGTTGATGCTTTCAGTAACTATGACTAGACATGGCTTTGCTGCTCTTGAAACGAAGATTTCTTTTTTTAAAAAATCCAGTATATTCTTATGTAAAATTAGATCGCTCTTTTTGGCCCCACCTCACCCCCAGGGTCATATGATTTGAACAAACTTGAATGTACACTTCCTGAGGATGCTTCAAGTTAAATATAACTAAACCATGGCTTTGCTGTTCTTGAGAAGATTCTCAAAGATTTACCCTATATATTCCTATGTTTAACTTTGAACAACCATTGTGGCCCCACCCTACTTCCAGGGGTCATGATCTGAACAAACTTGAATCTACACTACCTGAGGACGCTTCCATTTCAGTGTAACTAGTCTTGACTTTGCTGTTTAGAGGAAAAAAATTGAAGATTTTTCATAAAATATTCCATTGTAAAACTTTGATTGCCTATTATTGCCTCACCCTATCCCTGGAGGTTATGATCTGAACAAACTCGAATATACACTAAGTAATGAAGCTTTCATGTAAGTCTAACCTTTTCTGGCCTGGTGGTTTTTGAGAAGAAAGTTTTTAAAAGATGACGTTAAATTTTAACTTATTCTAAAAAAAAATCTCCGCGGACAAAATGTGATCAGAAAAGCTCACTTGAGCTTTCACCTCAAGTGAGCTAAAAAATCAGAACTATTAATTGATAACAATTCATTTAAATTAAAACGATTTTTATTATTAGTTGTTGGTAAAGAAACTATCTTCTACGTATTTTGGATCTAGCTGCCTAAAAGGCCTGTTTTTCCCCTCATTGTTTTAACAGTTGATAACTGCATTTCAAGTAGTCACCGTCACATGTGATTTATTCTTAATTAATAATAAATTAATCAAATTAATCAATAATTAATTAATTAATTTAGTTTAGTTATTTATTAATTCATTACTTTTGATGCGATTGAATCACTTTTTAACCAACTTTTAACTTACACTGACAACGAGCGGGATCAGTAGAAGACTTGAAGAAACCATCGCTACATACACAGTGCTTAGCCAAGTTTCCAGCGCATGTGCCTGGCCAACACCAGTTCTCCTTCCAGGAACACGTGGCTTGAAAATGTTTTATGACATTAGGCCATCTATAAAAAAAATGTTTGCTTGCCCTCTCCCGACTGAAGATAAAAAATAGGGAGTTTTTAAAATCCATATACATTTGCGTATGTGAAGTTAGAATAGTTATTAATGGGATAGGAAAACTTCAGAATGAATTAAAAAAAATAATTTTAAAGTTTTGAATCGGGCTGTTTTAGTCAGTCGGTGGGGGAGAGGGCAAAAACATGTTTTTAAAGATGGCCCTATATATCTGACAAATTATCTACATTCGAGCTGAGTAGTAGGAAAACACTGCATGTAATATCCATGCAACAGCAATAAAAAGAGAAGGAAAAAGCACTTAATAGATAAAAAAGAGAAGAAAAAATAAAACAGTAGGACATAAACAACTTGAGCAAATTCTAACCCCGTAAAAAGCAAGCCAAAAAACAAAAACAAACAAACAAATCGAACAATTAAGGCCCCAAAAACATCTCAAGAAAGAATAAGGACCCCCCTCCCTTCCCAAAGGAAAAAAAACAAAAAGAACAAAAACAATAACACAAAAAAATAGACCCTCACACACACACCCTCACAAACAAACACGCCCTCTCACACTCCCTCAAACACACACAAAACACTTTTAAAAATGACAGTAAATAAATAAGCAAACAATAACAAAGAAAGCCATTTAAACTGATACCTTCGCAAGCTTTCCTATTTGGAGTTGGCCAATAAACAGAATACTCGGGTGTTGACTTTTCATCCTGACATTTCGTACATTGGAAGTCATCAGACGTGCTACAAGTCGTGGATATACAATGCTCAGGAAGATGGCATGCTACAATACCAGAAACAAACTCGATTTAATTATCGAAGTTCTAAACTTTAAAACGAAAAATAGGAGAGTTGTCCATAGAGTTCGAGGGTGACTGTATCTGTTTTCTTATGCTTCATATAAATGGGCAGATAAACATAATTTATATGCCATAGTTTTTCCTCACTGAATAAAACACAATTTATATGTTGCCTTTCAAAGAAATCACTAGTGGGTTCTATGTCAAAAAAGTTGCGATGTACGGTCGATGAGGGCAAAAAAATTAAAATCAGTAGTTAAATAGAGCAACTCGATTACCTAAAAAAGTGATAGAATCTGGTGTGTGAGGCTGCAACTGTATGATACGTCCGGGAACAGGTTAAAGAAAACGTTCAGTTTCTTTGCTTAGAATGTTAGGCACATGTACTAAAAGCTGGGCACTGATCATTCGATCCCCATGTGTCCCTCAATAAATTACAGTTACTATCTGTTAAATTTAAGTTTTCGATTGACATTTATGGGAATATTCTTGTGAGATTTGTTCTTACCATGTAATTCACAAATAAATGGTCTTTCACTTGAACAAGACTCATCATTCCACGTCCAAGAATGTTCACTTCGAAGCTCTATACAGTCCTCTTTCCCATTGCTATTGCTAGGTTCGTCTGTTTTAAAAAAAAGTAATATGGCATAAATACCTTCAGTATTTAGTTTTTATAGAGTGTAATTGCCAAGCTCTTTTGCCAAAACAAATTGAGTAATTAAAAATAAAGTCATAATGAACGTATGAATTTGCAGTCTTTAACTTAATTCAGTCTCTGGAATAACTGCTGCAAGCTTTAAGATGTTGATATCGAAAACCAAGAATTGCTGCTGAGTTGCAAATATATATTGATATTATTTTATATTTTGCGTTTATTTTATATAGACACTCCAGAATATAAGCATCTCGGTTAATATTCTTTTCTTATCCTTATTAAAGAAACGCAATTTAAAAGAATTGATGAAAAGGACAGACCAGTTGTTTATTCATTGTCTTCCATTATATCGTTTTTCAGTAAATGTACCAATGAATATTGCTTTGTCAATTCCTACTTCTAAAAATTCATATCTAAAGCAAAGAATCAGATGATTTAAATATATTTTTTTTCCATACGAGAATCCCAGTACGAAAAAGAAATACGATCTCCTTCGTCCCAAAACCAATGTCCTTTTCTTGAGAGATCATTTCCTCCGGTCCAGAGATGTCCACTTCTGGCCAAACCTATAAATACCAAACTACTGGTACATAAATTAATCAAAAACATAATAGACTTTAAAAAAAAATAAGAATTGAAATCGTCTATATTCAAAGTTGTCAAATTTAACGTTGAAGAGAACGTAATATACAAACATGTAAAATTGTCAAAGCTCAACATGTCTACCACAATCGAACTTAAGACGTAACAAAATATTGAAAATTGACTATCTAATTTACGGATCAACTGTCTGTCCGTCTGCAGAAGATGGAGGTAAAAAGATTTGGAATCTTACATGAGAAACACTCGGTATATTAGATTGATGAAGCACAGTGGTTAGAGCGCTTGTTATAAAGTCGAAGGGTAAGGAGTTAATCTTTACTTTGCGGGTTCGAATCCCACTGCGGTACACTGTGAACGGTCCTTCGGATTAGACCCTATAAACCGAGGTCCCATGTCGCTGTATGTGCTAGCATAAATTAGATCACTCATTGCTGAAAGGGCGTAAGTGTCGAGTACATGTTTAAATTGCAGCCCCAAACCCGTATTTGGTGGCGACTTAATTTCAGTGAATAATTTTCGAAGGGACATTAAACAAACAAACAATTAGCATAATGAAAATTCAGAGAGGATTAATTGATTGATTGTATGTTGTTTTACGTCCAGTTCGAGAATTTTTTACTTATATAGAGACGTCACCATATACCGGTGAAGGGCTTCGAATTTAGACCTTTACTCAGCACTCAGGGCCATTGAGCAGTGAGGGTTCTTTATCATGCCAACGCCTACCATGACACGGGGCCTCCGTTTTTAAGGTCTCCTCCGAAGGATCTGCAACTTTCACTTCAAAGTGCCGAGCGCTTGGCGAAGGAACAGTTGCTACCTATTTTTTTTATCGACTTAGGTCAGTCGCAGCTGTAATTCGAACACACGACCTTCCGATCACGGAGCGAGCGCTCTACCGACTGAGCTACCGAAACAAAGCGATATATCTGATTTAGAGTTGTCGCTTCTGGTTTCCAGGAAAGGTCACTCACGTTATTGAAACGGGGAATACCTCCTCGTAATGACATCCCTCCTACAGGTTCTATATATTCACTTTCAATAAAAGCTGGTATAAAAAAAAATATGAATGTAAACACATAATTATTTTGAATTTCAAATTCAGTCGACAAAACATGTGCAATGGGTTTAAACCACTATGGGTACGTATACAATCTCATTAGAGAATTTATTTTTGTTTTGCTTTCTTTTCTTCGATTTTGTTTATTTGCTTGTTGGTATTATATGCCTACATTTCTTCAGTTTGCTCAATAAAAAGGGAAAGGAGAGAATTTTCACATCTTGTGATTGGTCTTCTAAAAACAACTTTGTTTTAAAAATCATAATCATTCTACACACAATTACTCTGAAGGTGATATTATACTATGCTAGAGTTCCTCATTGGCATTATCTTTGTAGTTTTGGAGACCAGGATGCAAACAATCTGTTGAATTGGAATTATCATGGGTATTATGCCCCTTTATTGGTGACCTTTTGTTTTTAGTCTTATTAGACAAAAAATATAGAAACATTTCTACATTAGAAAAAGTCTCCTGCTTTGGCCTTCAAGTCGAGATACACTTTGTATATCAACGATGTTTACGAACGATGTTTATGAATTGGCGATATTTCCCGCTGAACTCAATTAAAAGACACTGAAGAATGTGATTCGTTCTGTTTCATATTTCGATATTTTAGAGACAGACATTGATTGCACTTTATGATAAATATGCGTCAACCATCCTTAATTATGTAGCAATACACCATTTTCATCTGTATAACTGTCCTCGATTATTGATCTTTATCTTTATTTCATAGTTGTTACTCATTTCAAATTTTGCAAAAACATACAGTGTATGATCAGTATTATTTTAAAGATAAAATTATAAGAAAAGAACTTATCAATGTGCTCCTAAAGACCATTTTAAATGACTTTCTAATCTTAAAGGCAATGACATAATGCAATACCTTGTATGTGATTTTGTTTGGACCTGTCTCTTACACCCACGAGGAAACCTCCGTTTCTCTGACAAGTAGATCGAGCGTTATACCAGTTCGTTGTAGTTCCAAGAAATTTCTTGTAACAATAATCATTATGCTGATCAGTCCAACCAGATTTACACACAAAGTTATATGCTATACCTGAAAATGTGTATAAGTATACAGATGGAATGTGTCAAGTTCGAATCAGAGGAGAGATATTTTCCATCCATCAGAAGTTGTAAATGAAATAAATAGATTTGTTTGCGTTAGTTTTAAATTAAAATAAAGATAATTAGAAATATAACAATAAAGTAGAATAAACTTGTGTTAGTTTTAATAGATTAATGATATATATCTTGTTTTCTCGTTTTCTGTATGGGATATACCAACACTGTTTATTAAAGCATTCTCATTAGACGGAAAGTATTCATCCATTATTACGTCATAGTTGATTTACACTCAATTTTCCCCGTACTTACGGCTGTAATACCGGTAGAATTATGTAGAAAAGTATTTTCATGGAATTCAATTTGAAATCATGTCAAAAGTAGCCTCGATACCTATATTCAATTTAATATCATTTTAAAGTGGAGGTCAAGAAGATACAAAAAACCGTTTTCTGAGAGACTCTGGGCAATATTGATACATTTCCTTTTTCTGACATGGAAAAAACTCTGAAATTTACACCTGATTTTCTTCATTTTTCATTTAAAATAACAATACAAAATATGTTTTTTCCTGGAGTTTACCTAAATATTATGTCCCAACACACCTTATTTTACTAAGCTGTATTTGTAAAGGATCATTAAAAGAACTCGTTTTTAAATTTGAAAAAAAAATTGTAGGCACCTTCCATTTACTAGATCTTCACCTTAAATCAACATAAAGTGTAAAAGACACGCAGTCCTTAATTCTTTAAAATTATACACAACTTACAT